AGGCTCTGCACCACTGTAGAGGAGGGCTTCGTTCGCAGCCCAACAATGGTGTCCACATCCAGCTGCACACGGATGTCCGAAAATTGAATGTTTGCCATCGCCTCCGCTGGCGTCTTGAACTCTATACCTCCCGTCTTCCCCATCCCGACTACTCAGCCCATCTTCAGAACCCGAACCATCAGCTGTTCGTGCAGCGGAAGCTGCTCGCCCACGATCCCTTGTTTCTGGTACAGAATGGGCATGATGATGGCTATCAGGGCCAGGTGCAGGATTAGCAAGTGATGATGGAAGGACAAGCAAAGGGCGGCGTAAATAATACTGCTGATAGCATTCTTGATGGCCTCCATGCTGACAAACAGGGCATTTGAAGAACAAGGCACGAACGGGAAGATGACTGTAGGTAAATTGTGATTAGAAACATTGTGCATCAAAGTGAATCAGGCCGAGTTCGATGATGACCCACCAGATTGCACACTTGGTTGAGCTGGCATTGCAAGTAGTGCAGAATGCATAAGAACCGGAAGGCTTTCCAGCAGAGCTCGGTCTTGCCACTGGATGCAAGAAAGGTTTCCGGCATCGACCGCAGCAGGTGTATATTGTGGTCTCCAGCTTTAACATCGTGTGAGAAACGCCCGGATCCAGCGGACAGGTAATGAACTTACATTCGTTCTGTTGCGAACTTCTTCCAAAGGAGCATACTTGCGCATGTACGCTGCAGACGTGTGCAATCGCATGCGCATAAGAATATCTAAGATATCCGGAGTTTAGCGTTGAGAGCGCGTCAACGAGATCAGGAAGCCATACCGACATAGCCGTCTACAAAACGTAGCACACGGCTGTTACTGACTTTTAGTTCGGCTGGAGCAACTAGGGACAGCATAGCACACATCTGCACATCGCCCTATGCAGAAACAGTAAGCTCTTTCATCACATATTGAGTTCATGATCCCGAGTTCACCTCATCAGCATAAACCTCCAACGACTCCCTCATTGCCGCCCATCCAGCCTCGCGAAACCTTGCCTCTGATCGTTTCATGGTCTCTCTCTCTATAGCCTGAGTCCTACTCGTACGGGTCATACGGTCCTCCGTAGCCGCTCGCTCGAGAAAAGGGTCTTCTGAGAGAGCCCTATTCTGGGAGTAGAATGAAGATGACCGAAGGCTTCCCCGAGAGCCTGCAAACGTCCCCGGACTAGCGTACACGCCTGAATTGTTAGGATCCCGTAAAGTCTCTTCTCTCGCTAAACCGTTGATGTGATCTTGGTCTTTATCAGGGCCATGGAGCGACGTTGGTGTGGCAGAGGCGGTGACGGTCTTTATGCTGCTTTGCGATTCCTGTTTGATGAGCCTGCCACGACTGGACGCCGAAGAGGCGGCTATGGACACAGACAGAGAGGCTACTGTCGAGCTCCGGCTGCGGGCTTTCGTCTTGCCACTTTTGAGACTGCTTCTCCTGGATTTGCTTTTCGAAGAACCTGCATGTCTCGAGAAAAGATACTGTGGCTGAATGTCCCCATCATTAAATGATGATTCAGAATCGGTCGAGGCCGGCGATGGTGAGTCCTCTTCCTCCTTTTCGTCCTCGGTCCAAGTTTGCTTGCCAGCGACTTGGGAGAGTGGAGAGGGTTGTACGCTAGTGCTGCGAGGATACAAGTAAGGCGATATGGTAGGACGATAACTTGATGAAGATGATGCCCGGACGCCGACGGTTGTTGGATCCTCCTTCGTGTAAGCATCAGGCTCATCGTCATTAGGATCAGGCATTTCAGTATGATAATCGCCCGGATCATCTCTTGGGTGCATCTTCTCTTCAGAGCTGCCTTCGGAGTCAGAGTCATCCAACGCACCCTCTCCTACATGCCTCAGGCTTGTAGTAGCGCTATTGAGAGTCGAGAGCGACGGGCGTCTGAAAGAAGATCCTAGCCTTGGGCGCATACTTGTTGGAGGACCGCCCAACGATAAAGGGCCAGAGCCGCCGGATGAACGTCTGCCAAGGGCTGATGGAGTAACAGAGGTGGAAAGAGCCGGCAATGGAGAGGTCGGGCGTCGCGGGGAAGTGGTTGTAGAAGATGCTGGCGTTGTTCTTAACGGGGACAGGTAGCCTGTGCCCGAGCTCGAGATCGAAAGTGAGGCTGAGCTATGAGTTCTGCCCTTCTCATCACGTCGCAAAGATGGACCAGATCCATTAGATTTCGCGCCTGGGCTCTCTCTTCCATTTGTTGGGCCGTGGGCATCTTCGGAAAGCGATCGTACGGAGTGTATGAGTGTATTCGACGTGGGAAGTGGATGAGCGAGAGTTGGAATCGCCGCGGGCGCTGATGTAGAATGAGGCATTCTAGGGCTTACAAGGGGTAGAGGAGAGAGTGTAATGGCAGGTGTGGGAGTTTCTGTAGGGGCAACGTCCGTAAGAAGGTTCGCCAGTAGCATCCACACCTGCACAGCATCGTGTTTGCCGGCCGCTTTGGCAATCTATGAGAACATTATCGGACCTGTGATACTCTATGCAAGTACGTAGGGATGACGCGTACCTGCGCGTTCCGTGAACAAATATTCGGTTTGTTGGGGCCGTCGAACGTGTAGCCTTGTGCAAGCTTCATGAAAGTCACAGCGTCTTCCACTAGGCCATGTCCAGTAACCATGCCCATGCATTGTGACGAAGGAGCGAATAGTTTATCGCCCAGGGTCTTGACCTTGCGCTTGCTAGAAGCCTTTTTGTCCGGATTACTACGAAGAAGATATAGTGAGCCAAAAATGCATTTAGCGATGACATACGTATCATCATAGGGTATTTCCCATCGGTTTGAACGACCCGCAACGAACGTCAATGAGCCAGTGGGGTCCCAGGTAACTGCTGAGCGCGTAACGGCATCCAGTGGACGAGAAGAATTTCGTAGATCGAGTTGAGAAAAAGCTCCCGAGAAATGCTGCGCCCATAACGTATGGGAATCCTTGAATTCCACATCTAGTATCCCAAAAAAAAAAGTTGAAAAAGGGGTATCACCTAAGTTATAGGGACTTGCCTGTGACACCACCTTCCACTGCAGACCCACGAAGCGACCATTTAGCGACATATCCCCGTCGAACGTCCCACACCTCGATCGGGTCTCCAATGGCATTGTTCATTTGTACGACCTTGTCTTCCTCACTCGCCAATAATTCCACGGGTGCAGTGTGTCCCAGTCGTGGACTAGTGGCAGGCGTACCCGTGGCGGATTCAATAGGATGGGTGGACTGAGAACCGGTGCCAAAGTCCAGGTTAGAGACCACGGCCAATTCGCAGTCGTAGTTCGGACGCCACAGCACGCGACGAACTGGAAACGCGGTATGCAGCGTGTAGACAGGTTGTCGTGATATATGAGCTTCTCCGCTGGCAGCAGTCAGGTTCCATACCTACGACCGGCGTACAAAATGAACTTTGACGTCATTTCGGGGGTGGTTACCGGAAATGAAGCTACCTTGACACAACGATCCATGCCTCCGCTTGCCAACCAGCCCATTCCTGTCCCGTCGCCATCGGCGGAAGTGTTCGTATTGCTACCTAAATCATCAAAGAGACCAGAACCTACCCCTGCATACCAATTGGAACCCTGCGAGGACGGAGCCGAATTACCATTTCGGGAGTTCGCGTTCGACGAGAATGTAGAGGGTAACGACCAATCTAATGCAAGTATAGGGCCAGCATGCGCCAGCGAAATACGATCCAGTTGGCCTCGTTGGCCCATGTTTAAATCCCAGCTACAACGCAACAAGTCTTTACATTGTTGGAGCGTATTTAACGAAAGGACCTACCGGTAAATATTGCCATTGTCGAGTCCTGTAATGCAGTGGCGAGGCTGCCAAGGAACCGGTGAGAATACCACGGCACGAACAGAAGTAGGGTGATGGATCTTCATGATAGAATTTGACAAGTCTCGTAGATCCTAGGTTGAGGTAAAATAAGAAAGATGACTGCTCCCAGAAGCAAATAGCGTACCCAAACACGTATATCTCCGTCCGCTGAACCTGTGATGCAGTAATACTGCAATACCGTGGAATAAGCGAGTTTGTGAATGGAGCGAACATGTTGTCGGATGCGACGCTCTGCGAACTCCTCTCGTTAGATCGCATGACCCTTCCACTGCTCAGCCAACGGTATGGGGCCACAAATTCAAGACGTCATCACTGCGAAGGCTTGCAAGAGCCCGTGCATACGATGTCAACACAGTGGAAAGACGTTGAACATGGGAAAACATACTGTACTAAACTTGCGAAAAGACACTCACCAAACTTGGAAGGACCGGATTTATTCAAGTCCCACATCATGAGTTCTCCATTCCTCGCGCTGGTTAGAATCTTATTGCTGAAGGCTTGTACACAGAGTATAAATTTCTCTAAATTCTTGAGGATAACCTAGATAGATACGTACTTCCGTGACCCCATGCAACGTCCGTACTTGCACTATCGATTTTCAGACCGCTGCCAGTCCATAGATTCCGGGACGCATCTATACGGTATCCTCCACGGTTGACCGCAGCTTTGTGATCCGCGGATGTGACGGCACCAGGGTCAGACATACGAAGTATGCGTAGGGCTGGGGGAAGACTGTGGGTTTCGAAATAGTGTGTCATTTCGGGGGAAACGTACATTCTCTGCCAGCAGTCACGCATCGCAGTCCATCTTCGCTTTTCGCAATTGCACCACCACCATAAGCCGTCGCCCTTGGCATACGAATTTGGCGATTAGGTCCTTGTGGTCCATGAAAGCGGGAGTCGGAACACAACTCCGGTGCGGGAGAGGGGGGAATTGGGTTGTGCAAGGAGGGCCGACGAGACATGTGTCCGGTGCTGGAGACATGCATAACATACAGTCCGTCGGGTTTAAGCTTCGGAACAACAACACATCGGGAGCAAATTCAGAGTTGAGCGCGACTTGTAGAACTGAATTATAATATTTACGAATGCGGACGGTGATTGATAGTACCTGGTGCTGGCTATTTATAAATAAATGCGTGAGCAATCAATAAGGCGAGATGGCCGAGCGGTCTAAGGCGCCAGACTAAGGTTTGTATCCAAATCGAATCTGGTCCGAAAGGGCGCGGGTTCGAATCCCGCTTTCGTCAACAGCTTTTTAACTAATCTCACTGGATATTCCTGGAGGTTTTTAGCTACTGTGCTTAGTCAGCAAGCTGGTCAGACTACCGTATAATCCAAATTCCGGGTGCTACACTTGGCTATTTGCCATTAGAATATCTCCAATTCTTCATTAAATGTTTAAGATACATTGTAGTATATTTTCCATGATTTTATTTGTACATCTGATTAAGCGATGAATATAATAAGTGCCAAAATACAGTAGATGGCCATGAACCAGGAAGCTAGTTGGGCTCAAAATATCACCATCTGTTGTAAAATGAACTCCAAAATCTGTAGAACCTCATCATTCAATCATTATTGAATTATTTGATTAAAAACATAATCAGAATACAGTGTATTCAGAAATGTACAGGGGCGACCAGCTTCCTAGTCTGACCAGCTTGCTGACTAAGCACAGTATGATAAAACTTGAAAAAAACTTGAAAAGAGTATAAACTTTATTCATGATTTTTGATATAAAAATCTGGTAAAAATCCCAAAAGACTGCTGGTTTTTATCTGCTGATATTCTGTAACAAAATTAAAACACTTTTGAGTCAGAATATGGTTTAATTTTGTGTCTTAGCTTTTCCAACTCAAAATCTTATCAAAATCTTAGCAAAATCTGTATAAAATTTGTAAATTGGTGTTTTGACCAGGTTTTGTTTGATTTTTATCAAGATTATCAGCAGACAAAACTGGCAGTCTTTTAGGATTTTTACTAAATTTTTATATTGAAAATCATGAATAAAGTTTATACCCTTTTCAATTTATTTTCAAGTTTTATCCCAGCATAAAATCCCCATGCATGTCCAGTGTCTAAGGCTTCAACCCTTTACTTTACCTTTACACTGGTGCTGTAAATAAAAAGAAAGGGTTGTAAATAGCTTATAGAGAGTAAAGGGTAAGTTTACAACTGATATGTGGTATTTTTGATCAGGAGAGTCTAGAAGATTTTTCTTATTATATTTTCTAATGTTATTTTCAATTTTTGCACTGGATTTGCAAAATCTCCCTTAATTTAGAGGAGGAGAGGGGTTGCAACTGTGTGAGCGCCTAGCGGCCCATTGCATTCATAAGTGCCCATGTTCCCAACAGCCAATTTGTCTCAGCAATGAGTACACCTCAAGTCACATACATTAGTTGTAGTATTGAGCTAATGCTAAGCTACATATATTGCTGTTAGTGGATATTCCAACATGCAGGGCATGTTTTGTGATACCCTGTAAAAACTCATTATTTACTCTTTATAAACAGTTTACATCAAATTACACATTCTTCGTATATAAAGATAAATGTAAAAGGTTGTAACTTTCTATAAAGAGTAAATAATCTAAAGGGTCGGAGCCTTAAAAATATGTTTGACTCAGAATATGGTACAAATTTTGTCTTAATTTTTTTAACTCAAAATCTTATTACAATCTCAGCAAAATCTGTATAAAATCTGTAAATTGGTGTTTTGACCAGGTTTTGTTTGATTTTTATCAAGATTATGTATAAGAAAAGCACAGAAAACATTTAAACTATATTCTGAGTGAAAAGTATTTTAATTTTATCACAGATATCAGCAGATAAAACTAGCAGTCTTTTGGGATTTTTGCCAGATTTTTATATCAAAAATCATAAATAAAGTTTATACCCTTTTCAAGGTTTTTTCAGGTTTTATCATAGCTAAAAACCTCCAGGAATACCCAGTGTGGGCACTTCTGCAATATGTAAGGCTTAGCAATGAGTACATTCCTCAAGTTGAGCTTAGGTTGCACACAAAATTGTAGTATTGAGTCAATAATAAGTTATGTAATTTCATATTGATGCATATTCTGATATGCAGAGCCTGCATTATAGCCCTGTAAATACCTTTTATTTACTCTTTTATAAACAGTTTACACCAATTTACATGGCCTTTGTCAATAAAGAGAAAAATATAGAGTTGTAACTCTTTATAAAGGGTAAATAATTTAAAGGGTTGGAGCCTTAGGTTAAACAGACGTGACTTTGTGAGCAGCTCCAAGTTAAGTTCTGTTATCTGTTAAGCTGCATTGCATTTATTTAGTGCCCTATTTTATGATCCGTTAATACACCCGTGTTTTTATGCCTTCCTTTTTGCATTTATGTCCCTCAGCTTCGGACTTCGTACCTTCAAACTTCATATCCTTGAACCCCAGCAGCATTAGCCTATAGTATGGACTATCGGCACAGATCAACAAATTCAACCAGTAATGCAGCAAATAACAGTTAAAATTAGCGATCAAAACCACAATTTGCTCAACAAAACGTAGCAGATCCCACAGCAGAAATTGACACAGATCATCTCGTTATCATCTGGATACTGCATTTGATAGTTTAACTGCACTGGAGATCCTACTCCACCGATATAGGCAGACCAATCATTGCCCCCCCAGTTGCTTGCAGGCCGCTGATACGTTACCGGTACTATACCAACAAAACCAACACACAAACACTCGTGAGAGATGCTTGTATGCATGTACCGTGGTCTCGCAATAAGTACGGGGTCTGTGGCAGTATCGAGAAACAGTATCACTGGATATCTGTGGGGATTTTTGGGTGGAATAAAACTTGAAAATAAGTTGAAAAGAGTATAAACTTTATTCATGATTTTCAATATAAAATTTTGGTAAAAATTCACAAGAACTTTCTAGTTTTATCTGATGATATTTTGTGACAAATCTAAGATATTTTTGACTCAAAATATGCTTTAAATTTTGTCTTAGCTTTTCTACCTTAAAATCTTATTACAACTTTAGCAAAATCTATTAAAGTGATGTTTTGATCAGATTTCCTTTAGTTTTTACAAACATTTTGCACAAGAAAAGTATAGACAAAATTTAAAGCATATCTTGAGTCAAAAATATCTTAGATTTGTCACAAAATATCATCAGATAAAACTAGAAAGTTCTTGTGAATTTTTATCAAAATTTTATATTGAAAATCATGAATAAAGTTTATACTCTTTTCAACTTATTTTCAAGTTTTATTCCACCCAAAAATGCCCACAGATATCCAGTGTATGGGTGTGAGGGTCTTCAGAAGCTCAAAGGAAAGGTTCAGATACAAGATGAGGTAGAAGGAGGTTTGAATATATGAGATATTCCTAGCTTAGTACTGCAGATGCGAGTACTAAGTGCAGAGGTGGTTGTAAGAATCCGTTTCTTTTCCTATTATTACATCATCCGTAGCTGTACTTGTATTAGGCCGCAGTACTTGCATTAGATCGCAGTACTAGCGCAGTATCATATTGGTCGTGCACGCAGCACCTCGCAGCATCTGTACTAGGATCGCAGTCCGCAGTCGGACTTGTAGTTGTATTAGTTTGATCTGTAGTACAGTATAAATACTGGACATTCGGTACTGTAATGACTATCGCATTCGTTGCCTTCACATCCCTTGCATTCGTTGCATTATAAGTTTTACAGGTTATGGGCCCCGATCTCTAACCTATGACCACAACTCGAACCACTACTACACCTTTACCTTGCGATAAAAGCACACACTGCTTCGACAAGGACGACGAACTTGACCGTTATTGGGACGGCGAAACCTGGCTTGAGTGCAGCACTTTTGTCTGCACTAATCGATACACCCTCCCGCAATACACCTACGACAAATCACAA